GTCTCCTTCCAGGAATTTCTATTTCCATTATTGTACTGCACTTGGACTTAACTACAGGGCTTCGTATTCAATTACAGGCTCCTAGGTTACAGAAGCTAAAATCTTTTCAATTTTGCTTCCAGCTGGACTTGAACCATTGACCTTGACTGTGGAAGGTATAAGAGCTTAACCGCTAAGCTATAAGACCCACACCCTGCAAGCTTCTATTCAAATATATAGAAAATCAATAATATTTGTAATATTTAATTTATTTTAATTTTAATTTTTTTTGTGGTTTTATTTTTTTTTATTTTATTTATTTTTTTAATTTTATATTTTATTTTTATTTTTTAAAGCATCTTTACTTGCAGTGTGTGTAGCAAAAAGTTTGGCTGTCTAATGAGCCTTAAAAGTCACAAAAAAGTTCATAAAAATCACTATTAAGTTGAAGATGACATTAGTATAGATAGTTATAGTTCTGAAAGATTAGATGTTATAAGTAGACAAAATTACTATCCTATTGGAGGTGAAACTGATACCAGCATGGGTACCATAGTTCTGATAAATTGGATATTAAAATCAGACAAAATAACTATTGTAGTAAAGGTAAAGTTGACACCAATTCAAATACTTATACTAGTACAGACACTTATAGTTCTAATGAATTAGATGTTATTAGCAAACAAGATAATGACCTGATATTTGATGATCAAGATAGTGATAATGAATCTAACTTGATATTTGATACTTAAAACATTACTAGTGAATCAAATCTAGTATTTAATAATCAGAAAATCAGTAATAAATTTAACCTATCTGATAGTCAAAAAATTTTGGACCAAACTATTACTTGTGACATGATCATGAACAAAGTTGATGAATTGCAGAGTGATGATAGTAAACATAATAATGATAATGGAATAGATAGTTCAGGTTTTCCAAGTGTGGCATATTGAGATTTCATAAATATAGTAATTATTATATTTGCTAATTTAGTCAAAATTTTGTTATTTAAATAATGCTTCTTTTTAATATTAGATAATCAGTTATAAGCTTTCTTACTTGGCTGATGATGCTATATTAAAATTCATAATAAGATATAGTCAAATTTTAAAAAAAAATTTGCTCTGATTGACAAAGGATGGCCTTTTTTTCTTGAATACATTGAGAAAAAATTCTACTAGGTTTTTTTCAACTCCTATTAAAAAAATAAAAGACTAGGTATATTTATTTAAATATAGGCCAATTATTTTAGCAATTAAGGAAATTTTTTGAAATCAAGAAATTGCAGAAAACTGTGTTTTTGATTATCAAGAAATTTACATATCAGTTGAGAAAAGTAAAAATCTTAAATAACTATAACCAGATCTTATCATAATGCAACTATGCTGCAAGATTAATATATTTTCATTCTTAAATATGCATATTACCTGATTTTGATTATGACTATAACTAACAAAAATATGATTATAATTTTTTATCAAAGTTGAACCTGAATTACTTATTTAATTATTAGAGTATAATCTATTGTAGAATTATAATTGAAATCAGATGAGTTATATATGAGTATTAAATAGTTTGGTGTTGAAAAAGGAACAAAATTAACAAAAATAGATTGTTACAAAAATTAATTATGTTATAAAATAAAATGTAGTTTGTTTCTTAGTGAAATATTTCTAAGTTAATTTTGAATTCATTAAGCTCAAAAAATTGTTTAGAAAAATTGTCAATTTTGTTTCTTTTTCAATATCTAGTATAAATATAAATTAAGGATACATTAATTTTGCAAACCATCTTTATATAAATCTAAACATGTATGTTAACAATTCTGTTTTTTAGAAGCATCAAAAAAGGCTATTTTTTGAATTTTATAATTCTAAATAGTGGTGCCATGTACAATAAAATATACTATCCAAAAATAAGGTTTTAGCCATAATATTATACTCTGATGCAACCACACTGGACTGTTTAGGGAAAAGTTTATAGCATTCTATATTTATTAGTTTGGGCAATATTTCAACAAACCTTCAAAATAAAACTGAGTCCAAGGCACTTGTTGGTATCATGCTAACATTGCAAAGAACAAAAGAAAAACAAAAACACTGAAATTCAGGCAATTGGTTTGATCAGTATTTCACAAATATATTAATGTATTAATTGAGCTATTATGTTCACAATATCATTCTAAAATAATGTTAAAGGTCAACAATTATAATTTAAAATATAACATAATGCTAGCTTGTGTTATTGAAGATTGGCCTAAAAACTGCAAAACATATTTAACTTATAGTAGAATGAGCTGTGCACAACCTTGTTACACCTGCCTTGTAGAAAAGAATGAACTAAATACTATTAATTTGCCTAATAATTGCAAAATTGTTTGAACAGAGAATTGAATAAGACAAATTGTTGCAATGAAACAAGGCAAAGATTACTCATTATATGAAGAACTAATAGTTTTTAAAACTACCTGTAAGGGTTTTAGATTTTTTCTTCTTCTTAATTTAAAGATAATTATCTGGAAACACCATATGTCACTCAAAAGTAATGAATATAAGCTGATATTCTATTGCTATCATATATCATAGAAATTTTAATATCTATATAGCAACAGTTCCTGAGCAAATACACCATTTAGATCTTGGACTCTTTTCACATATGGTTAAGTATACACGAGACCTCTTGAAAGCTTATGATAGAACTACTCTTGTTAATAAAATGATCAAAGACTTGGATTGATACTATGTTATTCAAAGCTGAAAATATTCAATACTGGGCTTGCGGATCTTGCATTATTTATAGCATCAGAATACAAGCACATAATGAAAGTTATGCCTTTCATTCTTGAAGGTCTTTTTGAAAAAAAAAGATCTGCTTGTTCAAATGTTTGTTAATTAGAATAAAATGTATTGTTATTCAAGAAAGTGTAAATTTATACAGACAGACCTTGGTCATTTTAAGGTTAGTAAATTTACATTATTTTTATTATGTTAAACAATTGGATCCATATTAGCAATGTTATAATTTTATTTAAAAATAAAACATAAAAAATAATAATAAAATAATAATAATAATAAAGGTTATGATTTGAAAATGAGCAAAAAATTTTATTGACATTCTTGGCTCATTTACAAAAAATAATTGCCAATTTTTAAAATTTCACAATTGGATGCATCATATAATTAAAACTATCAAAGAGTATAGGAATCTAAATGGATTAAGTGCAAAAACATATTAAGTACTTTATAAGGAGTATATTAAAATTCTTTATAGAATATCCAATAAGCATAAGATTACTAAACAGATTTTACAAAAAATACTTTTTTTGCATTTGATATATACTGTTATTTATCTATTGATTTGTATATATATACATACTAATATCATACTTGTTAGGTAATATGAATAATTACAGTCAAAGATATTTATAAGCATATTATTTCAGAAAATTACTAATCAAAAAGTAAAAAAGCTATAGGAAAATTCAGAAAAACATATTGTATTATACCTTTACATCTTTTAAGATCACTTGTTAAGTCATATGAGCATGACAAAGAAAGCATTCCTGAAATTCTTGAGGGTTTACACTATCTTATTTCTGTAATAAATGACTATTTTAAATTTTTACTCTTAATGTTCAAACAAAATATGAAAAAGACTAATGAAATTTAATTTTATATGAATCTTTTACTTTATCTAATAATGAGCAAGTGAGGGCTACAAAAAATTACTATAATATAATGATTTTTAGTAATGTTGCTATTTTTATGAACTTAGAGCAGAAAGAATTTAAGACATCTGATAGATAGTGCTTTGCAAAAGTATATATTTAAAATAAATATATCCTTTTTATATAAGTATATATTTTAAAAACATAATTGTCTGAACCTAATGTTGAAATTTTTTGTGATTATGAATCAAACTGCAAAATTATTATTATTGTTAAAAAATATATATAGTAACTAGTTTATATTAATTATTAGGTTCTATTATTGGTTCAAATTGTACTAGAAAATTCTTTGACATTCGATCTTGCACTTATTTATTGGTACAATTTCAAATATCTGAATGTTTCTTCAAAGTTTTATAAATATAGTTGTCCTTATTTATAATTGACAAACATTTATAACTTAATTTCAATAGCATCAATTAATAATCTTGTGCATATTGTTCCATAATTTGATGTAATGAATTTATATTATGTTAATACTTTTATTTTTAATTAATAATATCAATGTATATAGTTTTATATTATTTATATATATTATTTATATAGATTTATATAGATTCATATGTAATAATTATTATATAAAATTTATTTCAAATAAAACTTAATAATATGTAAACTTTATGTAAAAAAATTATTTATATTTTAAAAATATATAAAAGTTATATAACTGCAATATGTAAAATTTATAAATATATAACATTTATATAAAATTATTTTATAAAATTTTATTTAAATAAGTTTAAATAATTTTTACATAAATTTTATATCAAATAATATATAAAAATTTAATGCATAAAAGTTTTATATAATATTTAAGTAATAGCTATATAAAGTTATAGATCTATGTAGATTTTATAAAAAAATATACTTCATGATATAATTAATTTTTGTAAGGAATTTTTTTGTCTTTCCCTAGCACCAAGTCTATTTATTAATTGAAATATTTAAGATATCATTTAAAATTTTATAATTAATAAAAAATAAAATAAATTTACAATTTTTTTCTCTTTGAATTACAATTGTATTTTGAATAACAGCCATATCTTAGTTTTAATCAATAGTTTAACTAATTTAGTCTGATGACATTTAATATAATAAATGTTTTTTTTAAAAAATACAAAACTAAAGTTATTTATAATAAAGTTTAGTTTAACCTGTTTGAATTTTAATAGATTGCTTCTTTTAGTAATAGATTTAGTTTTAACTCATTAGATTTTAAACTATCAGACTAGTAGTAATTCAAGTTTAAATAGTTTAAACTTCTTCTAATGGCAAGAATTCTAAACTCTAACAAATTTCATTTAAATTAAAACTTGTACTTTGTGATCATACCTTGTAACTTTTTCTAAAAATTCTACTAGTTTGTAGTTTTTAAACAGGCTTGGTAAGTTTATAAAAACCAATAGGCAAATACTATATATAAAAAAATAAAATGAAATTTAAACTTTAAGGGCTAAATTATTTTTAATTATAATACTTTATTTTCGTAAACATTGTTTCTTTTTAAGAAATTCATAAAAACAACATCCAAAAATGACCTAATATTGTGTGATTTTGCTCATGATTAGCTAACATTTTCTATATATTTGACTAAAACAGTAATAATTTCATTATTATATCAGTATGATTACATGAAAGTGTGAATCTTGTATGTGTGAAATGTTTGTAAATATGTGTATTTGATTTATACAATTATACTTGGTAAAATAAATATAGCAAGTATAGATATTTTGCACGCATTACTGAAATCTGTGACAGATTAGTTAATTACATGCCTGACTCTATCATGGCAGTATAAAAATTGACTCTGATTATACATTGTAATTATAAAATGGCAAGTCAGTTGCTAATCAGTCAAATTTCTTATGTAACTACTTAAGAGAGTTAATTCTAGTTAAAAAAGGTGTGTTAAATTTGGTGAGTGATTAACAAGGTTTTAGTTAGTCTACTTAATCATAATGGGTTTTGGGTTGGTTATTGGGCATGTGTACTGGCATACTATATATAATTTATCAATTAGGAACAAGATTATGTTATAATGATTACTTCTAATAAAAACTGTACTATATATAAGTTGCAAAGGGGACATTATTATTCCCAAAGGGCCATTCAGCCTTTATTTATAATTGTATACTTCTATTTATATTCTATGATGCATATGACTACTATTACCTAAATGACCATTCTAACCAATCACTGCTATCTATTATATCTGTTATATGTGAA